ACTGCTGGTGGGAGTCATCGAGCTCGTGACCGTGAGTAGCTTCCTTACTTCGCCTCCGAGACAACGCCAAAAATTTATGTCCTAAAGAAATCAAAACAAATCACTTTATATTACAACTAAATCACAACCTAATCACGGCGCAAGAACCTCATAAATCACGGGGAATATCTCGCCCTTTGGAACGAGACGGGTTATTTGTTTGTCATTATTGACTGGATGATCTTGAATCACTAACCTCCGAGGCAGATTATACAAAAAAAATGTTTCTTAATTTGTAGAGAAAACAGCTCATGATGTCATTCTCAAGGGGATGGGGACACACACACACACACACACACCACGATCCTCCGACGTCGACACGAAGCAGCGGGTCAACTACAACTAACTAAGGCTAGAGTTCCATTAATGGCCGTAAAACTACACCTCCCACGCGCGTTAATGTACAGTGCACAACCACACACTCCAGCACAACTGTTTGGACACATTTGTTTGTCCGTTCCCTCGATATTTAAAAAAACTCGTGGATGTAAACATGACTAGCGGGAATAATCGGATCAAAATAACACCCTAGCACCCCTTCAGGAAATGCCCTAATGGAGTCGACTAAACGATTAATCCTCGTAAACATGACTAGTATAAACGTCACCATTTAATACTCGTTAACGTCTGCCGTAACTTTGGCACGTTTTGGTAATTTGTCACCTTCCATCGAGACCCCAGAGCAGTTTAAATCTCACTCGATAATATCAGAATTTCGGTAATATGAAACCTTCGACCGCGACCCCAGAGCAGTTTAAATCTCACTCGAATAATATCAGAATTTCGGTAATATGTCACCTTTCCTTGAGACCCTAAACCAATTTTAATCTCACTTGTCAGTTTCAGTCACAACACTTCCGAGCGCCAATCACCTTAATGCTACTCCGAATTCCACGAACATTGCTTCAGTCCGTACGCAAATTAGGGTCAAAATAATCCGAACCTTCGAGATAAACAAACGACATTGGCCTCAATCCACGTATATAAATATTTTGTCACAACCTCGAGGAACTAATTACTGTATGGGGTAAGAGAATATATCCATCGCTTGACGCTGAATAAACATGACAATTCATCATCAACGCTCCACTACGTCCCGAGGTTTAAACCCAATAATATAACCGCGACTTCCTGACCCCAGTCTTAACCTACGTAATATATTCCTCATGACGATAGAATTCGACTCGATATACAAAATAAACAAACCTCGTCGTCTACGTTAGTGTCGTGAATTACGGCGAGAGAGCAAATACACATACAAAGTTATATATACACCCTCTATACGCAGCACATGGTACATACGCACTCAGCCACACCAAAGCGCTGAACATACTTTCCCCCGAGACCTTCGATACCTCAGTCAATTCTCGAGAAGCTGATGTTCACACAGACGCTCGATCAGACGACAAAAAACCTATTACCGAAATCTCGATAAACCAAACCATCGTTCCTCTTATTTTATCCCACGCGGAAACAGGATGAATATATCTTCAGCCTTAAGATAAAGTCACACTTTTTATGTCTTTATAATTAAATGAGAGTAAACGACCTAAAAATAAGTACACGTGACTACCGAACGAGCTTAGTGTGAATTTCTTTACATTCGTGATCTATTATTCGACGATTGTTGCTGTCAGCCATATTGTTGTGCGTATAATTATCCCGATGCTCGTTTGTCGGTGCGTGTGTTGCCTGATATACGAGAAGCACCATAATTTAGAGAATATAAAGAGGTTAGGTTAGGTTAGGCTGGGTTGGGTTGGTTAAGGTTAGGTCAGGTTGTCAAAGCCACGTCTAGGCTAGAGAAACAACACCCGACAACGGTGAATTTTCCGTCATATGGCCGAACCAGCATCACAACAAACCGTCTAAAGCAACGCGTCATTCAATCAATATTTTGCATAGGAAATCAAGAACGTTCGTCATGGGGTTAAATACGAGAAACAAAAAAAAACGACACTCACCGTTTTGTCATAAAATGCGACGGCCAACGCATACCGACTCTCACAAGAAACCGCCCACGACATTAAATTATCGACACGCACAAATGAAGTCCGTTTACGTCTAAGGTCAGGCCCAGAGAGGAAGATTTGGTTCGCCTTAGGATTAGGGTCCACGAACGTATTTTCACTTGATGATTGGATACCTTAATTTTACCTTGTGGGGGTCAGGTTTGGGCAGCATCAGGGTGTCTAATCATCAGGTCTAATAAACAAGGGTGTCTTCATCTTCCCGTGACCACTCCCAATAAATAATAATAAGCACCATTTCACTAACACCTGCCAAAAATGTACGTCGTTTCCATAGCAACTAACCACCGTCCATGTTCCTCGAAAGTGAGAATCTCCACTACCTTGACTACTAGACTTTGCAATGGCATCAGAAATCTTTCATCAAGCTTTAGTCAATACGTTTTGCTTTGAATATACAACGATTTTTATTTTATTGACATTATACAAGATCTTTTATTCATTCTGTGCGTTCAAGAGTTTATTCAAATTTTACGCTTTGTTTTATTCAGATTTATGTTTTATGATTAATTAATACATTTGTTTTGATTATACATTTAAGTTCAATGGTTTTATTTGGATTTACGTTTAATGTTTTATTTCGAATACACGACAGACGTATTTTATTCAGGGTCCGCAATGAGTACTGCACGTTTCTAATAGTCCAACGTCCTACGATACGAGACTACCGTACGTGTCTTTGGAGTCGCGAGAGATAAGGTGCGTTTGGGGACTACCACACCCTGATATGTATCCTAGTATAGGCCGCGGATTACGAGATCTATCGACGGCGAACGTAAACAAGACTATATTCACGAACCCTCACGCGTCCGTTACTCAATAAACCTAACCTGGTTTAAACGTCGGCATAAATCGAGCTCATTAATAAGCCGTCGTTGATAACTAACCCAAAGAACGCAAGAAACGTCAAATTCAACGTGGGTTATATACTTTTTGAAGCGTTAAGGACGAGAACTTTAAACAGCCGCTAGAAACACTCGAAGGCGTTATATATAATCAGAAGCGTTAAAAGTATTGGAAGAGTGATGCTTAATGTATTCACTGGCGCTTAAAAAATTCAGAGGCACGTTAAAAATATTAAATAGGGACGCTAAAAATATTCAGATGCTAAAATTAATTCATAGTCGCTTATAAAAATTCAAAGGCGCTTAACTAATTCATAGGCGCTTAAATAACTGAGATGCTTATAAAATTGATAGGCGCTTAAATAATTCAGACGCTTATAAAATTAAAACATAAGGGAATTAAAACGTGGGAGAGCAGCCGGTGTATCCAGGCCCTCTGTGGTAGTCCCCGACGCTCGACGTGCTGATATATATAAACACTAAATAAAACGATTCTTTGTACTGGATAACTCGAGTGCCGCACTTGACACCCCCTTCGAAACTGTTCCTGCCGTCGTTCTCGCTTCCATGCGCACGATACTCTCAAATAACCTACGTAATTCTGTATAAAATCAAAACAAACTGTTTCCACCAGCTTGTAAAAAAAATGTTTAGTCCCCCTTGAAATACGGTGGTTGGTTCTCGGGTGATACAACAGATGGCGTCGTAGGCGGTATATAAACGCTTACAGTGACAGACAGACAGACAGACAGACACAACCGATCAAACGATACCAAAGTGGGTTGTATCGGGTAACAGATCAAATGGTTTATGGTAATTATCGATTAAAATGACGCAAATAACACTTGTCATAATAGTTTCTCTCTAGTGACGTTATCGTGATCTGCGTCCGAGGTCTAGGGTAAAGTATTCACCCATGTGGTGCAGTCCGACGTCCACTGGCCGTACGATAAGTCCCACCCGACCATTTTCGACGTCCCCGGCGGTAGTTTTAATACCCAACAGTTGATTGGTTGAGTGAGAGACTTAGCTAAATCGTACATCAATTCATTACATCTATAAATTCATTCCTAATATTTCTTTACAAATTTTATCCAATATTTTTTCACATCCAAACTTAATTATTTGTCATATTAAAAATTTCCCGTTAAAATCATAATAAGAAGCGAGTTTCCTAAAGTTCCGTCAAGAATCAAAACCAACGGAGTATTTATAAATCGTCGGGGACAGACAGACGTACGGGTACCTAACGTAACTCAAAACACCGTTGGGCCGATGTGTAAACGAGCGTATGAAATGATCATCGAGGCGTGAGATGCGGGGATTCTAACGTACCCTAAACGTAAACTCACGCGTCATATGGACGACGCAGACCGAGTTATAGTCTCGTGGTTAGGTTAGGATACTTGATATCTGTCAGGAGAAGTAAGGTTAGGTTTCTTGATCTATGAGCGTTCCGACGACTCATTTAACTCGTGACTTCCGGAAAACAACAACTCAAGACTATCAGCCCCGAAACTGTTAATATTCCAAGCACTCGTTACCTGACCCCAGACTATTGACTACTGGACCCCAGACCACTGAATACCGGACCCCAGACCACTGACTACTGGACCCCAGACCACTGAATACCGGACCCCAGACCACTGACTACTGGACCCCAGACCACTGAATACTGGACCCCAAGACCCCAATAAAAAGATCGTGATTAAAATAGTTCGTCTCGCTTCGGTATTTTTCCTGTTCGCCCGTGTAATTATTTTTTGCATATTTAGTCGTTCTTCTGTTTATCTTTGAGGTTTGGTTGTTACTTAATTTACTACAGAGAGAGAGAGAGAGAGAGAGAGAGAGAGATCTATCAACAACCAAATGACCGATAGATACAGCCTACAGACAAACAGACCAACACACACACAAATCGACCAAGAAAGACCGAACGCTACACAGTCGTCAAAAGATAAACCCCACAGCAAAACTTCCTCTTGGGGTCGACACTTGAAATGACCCTGTTATGTGGCCCTGTCTTTCGTTAAATAATATTAAACTGGAGTGTCGTGGGTCTTGATACCCCCCCCCCCACCCCCTACCCCCACACACACTCCCCCAATATGGTCTTGATTCCGCGATATGTTGCTTGTGTGGCGGTGAACCAGTTTGAGTGTATTCTTGAACCTGGCAGCGCTGAGTGACATGTCTTGGCTGACTCAATCCTCCTGTGAAAAAAAAAAAAGGTTTTATAATTTAGTTATGATTTTATTTAATGAACTATATGGAGATGAGAGGTTGTTATATCGAGGGTCTATAGAGATGAAAGTCCTTTATATCGAGGGTGTGTTATATGTGGTACCTCTATTTAATGAACTATATAGAGATGAAAGTCCATTATATCAAGGATCTATAGAGATGAAAGTCCATTATATCGAGGGTGCATTAGATGTAAGGTCAGGTTAGGTTTAAGCACACAAGAATCGTCCAATAGGAGAGACACAGGTACTGACCCATTCCGTTGAGTCGACACCTTCCATCCTGTCCTGTTCTAGGGTCTTGGACACCTGACTCATCTGCTGACTCATCGACTCTTCTAACTGAAAAATAAATAAAGTAAATACAACTTCTCGGTGATGACGAAATACATGTCCGATACACCGCAGCATGTGATGTAGCCTTAACCTAATCTGACCTTAATCTAACTTCAACCTAATCTAAGCTTAACCTAATCTAGCCTTAACATAATCTAAACTTAACTTAATCTAATCTAACCTAAACTAACCTACACCTAACCTAACTCAAGCAAAGGTCCAGTCATAAATGTTTTCACTGTTCATTATCATCTACACAGTTATCACTAGTCACTGCCCCACCAGTCACTGCCCCAACAGTCACTGCCCCACTACAGTCACTGCCACACTCCTTACTGCCCCAACAGTCACTGCCCCAACAGTCACTGCCCACAGTCACTGTCCCACTACAGTCACTGCCCCAAGCTGCCAAAAATACCTATCGATAAAACCTGAAAATGCCCCAAATTCTGAATATGAAAAACGTCTTTGAAAATTAACTTATTAATATGGAAAAATCTATCAGAAAATGACTAAATACTGGTGAATATGACTGAAAATGACTTAATACTGGTGAAAATGACTGAGAGTGACTTATTATTGCTGAAAATGACTTAATAATGGTGAAAATGACTTAATACTGGTGAAAATGACTTAATACTGGTGAAAATGACTGAGTAACTTATTATTGCTGAAAATGACTTAATACTTATTAAGGAAAAGACTTAGAAATTGATTTAACACTAGAAATTGACTTGAAAATGACCTGACACTATAGAAATTAACTTAACATGGAAACTGGCTTAGAAATTGACTTATCAAAGACAAATATATAAATAAATATCACAAATAAATAACAAAAAAATATATATTCAGTGAAACCTCCATATAATGTACTATATAGATCAAAGTCCATTATATCGAGGGTCTATTACATACGAAACCCCCATTTAACGAATTATACAGAGAGAGAGAGACGAGTCCGTTATATAGAGGTTTCGCTGTACATTGTTTACATACACAGAGGAACTCGACAAATAACACCTACCCGTATCTGCGTTTCCAAAACCTCGTCCGGTATATTTAGATTCTGCGGAGATACAACGACAAGCTGGGTAGGTTGAGATGTGTAGGGAGGTGAGGTGAGGGGGGGGGGGTACATGCAATCAGCCAATCACGAACGTCCATCTCGACGGACGTAGATCAAACTCGAGGATTTATGAGTATTATTATTATTATTATTTGTTTTGATCCATCGCTCGTGTTTGATCTCTCTCCGGGGGTTTTATCGGACGCCAAAACAAAGCTTCGAGGTCCGTACGATATTATTTCGACGTTTTATTTCTCTCTTGGGGTTAAATCGTCATTAATTTTAGGCCATATGTAGTGAAGATTTGTCCCCTATTTACTTTGCTCTCGATGTTTACTGTAAACTGCTAATTGGTCTGGGTTAGGTTAGGTTGGGCTGGATCAGGTTGGGTTAGGTTAGGTTCTCAAGGTAGATTAAGTTAGCATCAGCGTAACAAACCTACAGGCGAAAAAAACCCCAGAGCCATTTAATCAATCACCTAATTCATACCTTGATAAATGTTGACAATCACAGCTCAATCTGATTAGCAACCCCTATAGGAAGTCCACCCCATTAATACCCCACGGTAAACGTCGAATAACCCGCCACGTGCGTTAAACCACCGGACTGGGAAGCTTTGTTTATTGTTTTTGTGCTAGTTCATGCATGACACGTCCTTGTAAGTAGAGGAGTACGTGTGGTGTCGGCTCGGTCTGGGGGCTAAGCCATCGGGGTTTAACGTCGACGACACAAAGCTGAGGATGCAATGCTGGTTAATTAGCTCTGGGGTGGGTCTAGATGGCGTGTTTTGGCCGTTGAGAGAGAGAGAGAGAGACATCGGCCAAACAATACCCTAGGCCCACCCCTCTCTCCACAACACAAGGAAAATAATTAGAAATAAATAAATAAATAAACAAATTCTTAGTAATATTCTCAAACATAACTTCCCCTCCCCCCCCATGCACTGACTACCAACCCCAAGCTGGAAGTACACACGCCTGGATATAATACCTGGTGACGTTTATTGTGATCGAGTGATTACGGTAATTTCATCCCTAATGACCCAAAAGCCTAATTAAAATTGATCGTTTATTGACATGTGGCAATGCTGTGGAAGGCCTATGTAGTGATGTAGTGACCTTAGTCTGGCAATTATTGTGAAGTTCGTTATAGTCATTCTGCGAGTTTTAACACCATATAAACAAACACAGCATTGCCACATCTAACAAAAAATGTACCAGCTATAAATGCAGGCAAGTGTACATAGTATTTTTATTTTTAACATAAGTGTCTTTACATGCTAAGATAAAGAGAGATTAAAGTGAAATGAGGTGAGGTGAGGAGTGGGAGGAAATGAGGGGGAAGGAGAGGGAGTGGAGAAGAGGAAGAGGAGGAGAAGAGGAGGTGAAGAAGAAGCCAAAACTTAACCCTTAAACACTTCTATACAAACCTGTCTTACTCTTAGTACTCAAACTTGGGCTGATTACGTACTGTACTCTCGTGCCCTCGAGTATGATGACAATGTTTTAAATGGGGTTAAGAGATCGTACTCAATTGGTTAATGCTTCATATTTGAGGGGTTAAGTCACTGTACTCAAGGGGTTAAATCATTGTACTCAAGGGGTTAAATCATTGTACTCAAGGGTTTAAGTCAGTACTCAAGGGGTTGAATCAACATATTCAAGGGGTTAAATCATCATACTCAAGGGGTTAAGTCATCATACTAAAGGGGTTAAATCATCACTCAAAGGGTTTAGACTAAAACACACTAATTAAAACTTAATCCACAGCTTCGACATAAGTTCAGCGCTGTAGTGAAGATCATGAACAAAACTGTATGTAATTTTAGCCCTTAATGGATCACCTGAACTTTAGCGCCCCCCCCCCCCCTAGATAGTTTCAGGGTGGTTAAGCTGGGGTGATTTCAGGTGAGCACTTGGGGGTTAATCTTCAGGTGAGCACTTGGGGGTTAATCTACAGGTGAGCACTTGGGGGTTAATCTACAGGTGAGCACTTGGGGTTAATCTACAGGTGAGCACTTGGGGGTTAATCTACAGGTGAGCACTTGGGGGTTAATCTACAGGTGAGCACTTGGGGGTTAATCTTCAGGTGAGCACTTGGGGGTTAATCTACAGGTGAGCACTTGGGGGACAGGTGAGCACTTGGGGGTTAATCTACAGGTGAGCACTTGGGGGTTAATCTACAGGTGAGCACTTGGGGGTTAATCTACAGGTGAGCACTTGGGGGTTAATCTTCAGGTGATCCAATAAGGCAAAATTCCAAATAATCTCACTCGCAATCTTCACTACCGTACCAGACAGGAGTTAAGAACAGCTAGTAAACAGAGTCTAGATTTCTAAAGCTCGATTCTACACGGACATCATTTACTAACCATAATAAAACCACAAATGCTTATAGTAATTAAAATCCTAACCTAACATTAAACTCAAATAATAATAATAATAATAACACTGGTAATAATAACACTAATAATAACAATAATACTAATACAGGTTACATATAATAACAACAAAAGCTGTGGTCGCGAATGTAAATAAACGCAATTATCGTAGTTATAGCTGTCGAACCTTATGCTGGGTCTGTCGTACTTCCGTGGGCACCATTCCCTTGAGAAACGGAGGCGTCTCGTGCCGTATGTGGCCTCCACTGTTTGGCTGTGAGACTGGCGACTGCTGCTCTCGACTTTCTGACACTGTGGAGGTTGAGTTTGATTAGGGAAAGGTTAGGTTAGGTTTAAAAATATATCAATATACAGTTAAATATGTTACTGTAATTCTAGGGACAAGGTTCATGACAAAGAAAGAAGGAAGGAAGGAAGGAAGGAAGGAAGGAAGGAAGGAAGGAAGGAAGGAAGGAAGGAAGGAAGGAAGGAAGGAAGGAAGGAAGGAAGGAAGGAAGAAATAAGAAGAACGAACCACAACTACGTACAGGTTAACATATCAGAAGGTTGAAGCGACAATGTCTGCGGTGGACGATTAGTGTCACCCAGCCACTCAGCAGCTGTCATCACCGGCTCCCAGCTCACGAACGTTGGAGGGAAAATATCATCTTGAAACAGCTCCGTCTGACGAATAAAACATGCATTACTTACGTTGTTATTGAGGATTTTGAGGATTCTAACGGATATATTAAAGTAAATGGTTGTCAGGTTGGGTTGTGTTAGGTTGGGTCAGGTCAGGTCAGGTCAGGTCAACAACTACCTTTACTCTGGGCACAGTGAAGGAGAGAGGCTCTAACACAGAGGAGGTCAGCCTCAACGCCTTACAGAACTCCACCTGCCGTACGTCACACATAATCTTAGGCAGCATCACCAAACCCTGCGGGAAAAATACACCTTGTCAGTTCATCATTCGTGGGTAATATTAAGGTGGAATTATTCTTAAATGCTTATTTGGTGGATGTTGGCTGTAGGGACATCATTTTATCAATAACAATAATACCTAATAATAATAATAATGACTAATATAATTTTCACCAACAACTACAATAATAATAATAATAACACCAACTACTACTATTATTAATAATTATAATGGAATCCCTCGTTATCCGGGATGGCCGGCCCAAGGACCACCTAGGAGTGAATTTGTTTAAGGTGTAGAAGCTGTCACCCACACAACAACCACACCCTAAGTTAATGAGCTGCATGACCCAGTGTTTAAGGTGTAGAAGCTGTCACCAATACAACAACCACACCCTGAGTTAATGAGCTGCATGACCCAGTGTTTAAGGTGTAGAAGCTGTCACCAACACAACAACCACACCTTGAGTTAACGAGCTGCATGACCCAGTGTCAAGGAATAGCCCCAGAAGACCGGACAACTCACCAACTGCACTGGCTAACCATTACCCTGGAACACCATCCACAAATCTTTTAACATCCAGGTCCCCAATTACTGCTGGGTAGACAGAGGCAAATGGCATAAAGAAACTTGCCCATAGTTTCACCCTGGCCGGGGATCGAACCTTGGACCAGATGCTTATGAGGTGAGCATGCTGACCATTACACAACAGGTCGCCACTACTACTACTACTACTACTACTATTACCACCACCACCAACAACCACCACCACAACCGACAACAATAATAACAATAAAAATAATATCTACTACCACCAACAACCACAACTACCACAATCTTACCTGGTGCACGCTGGTACATTTATGATGAGAGAGGGGAAAGATATGAGGGAAGTCAGCCCCGATCTCGTAGGCATAAATTGTACTGTCGCCCTGCAAGATAAACGCCACATTATTACTTACACAACAGCAGGATTTCTATTCAGTAAGATTTATATTTATGAAATTTATACTTAACAGAGAATTTAACGCTATATCGAGGTTCATTAGCTGTGAGACCTCGATATAACGGAGCATGTGGGATAGTAAAGTCCATTATATCGAGGTTCGTGAAGCCTCCATGTAAGGCTAAATTAACTTAACACAGTCTAAATTACCCTAACACAGTCTAAATTACCCTAACACAGTCTAAATTAACTTAACACAGTCTAAATTAACTTAACACAGTCTAAATTAACTTAACACAGTCTAAATTAACTTAACACAGCCTAAATTACCCTAACACAGTCTAAATTAACTTAACACAGTCTAAATTAACTTAACACAGTCTAAATTAACTTAACACAGTCTAAATTAACTTAACACAGTCTAAATTAACTTAACACAGTCTAAATTAACTTAACACAGTCTAAATTAACTTAACACAGTCTAAAGTAACTTAACACAGCCTAAATTACCCTAACACAGTCTAAATTAACCGTAACACAATCTAAATTAACCGTAACACAATCTAAATTAATGTCTAACTCACCCTAACCTAATCTACTTGCACTCTTAACTAATCTAACGCACTCTTAACCAATCTAACGCACTCTTAACCTAATCTACTTGCTCTTAACTAAATCTAAATCAACCAAACCTAACCAAGCACTCTTAACTCACCTTTCCTGTGGCGAAGAGCGTAGAGCAGTCGGAATCGTAGAATGGAATGAGCATCGCTGGGCTGATGTCCGTTCCGACCGTATTGGCGGGTTTGGTCAGCTCAGTGGCCTTGTATACGCTGATCTGTCTCTCCGATACTCTGTTGGATAATATTAAGTAAGGCTTCGACAAAAACAACAATCGTCATTAAATTTGTCTCTGGGGTCTAGATTTTAAGGATGTAGGTATGGGGTAATATTTTTTTGATACTCTGGATAAGATTAAGCAAGGCTTGAAAAAACAACAATAAGTCATTAAATTTGTCTCTGGGTACAGGAATTAGATCAAATTAGCTCCCCCAAGTGCTCACCTGATGAATACCCACAAGTGCTTACCTAATGTTCAGGTGATTCATAAGTTAAGTTAGGTCAAACTCAGGTTAAGTTAAGTTGGGCTCGGAGTTAATTTAAGTTAGGCTCGAATCACTTGCTAAATCCGCGGTGACGAGAACTTGCCGTAGCCTACAATATTCTGGCACCACGAAGCCCATTCCCGTCTGTATTGGCTCGGTGCAGTGCAGAGGTAAATAGTCACTCGTGGCTGTCCCGGCACATGGTCGCTAGGTAACGGCCGCGAGGACTCCACGCCATCGAGAAGATCTGGTTTAGGCGGCGACAGTTGTGATGATGTGTTATAGGGGTAGACTGGTGGTGGGGAGGTGTTATAAGGGGTAGGGTGGTGTGGGGAGGTGTTATAGGGGAACTGGTGGTGGGGGGTGTTATAGGGGAGGTGGTGGTGGGGTGGTGGGTGGTGGTGGGGGGAGGTGTATAGGGGGTAGACTGATGGTGGGGAGGTGTATATAGTGGAGTGGTGATGGTGGGGAGGTGTAGACTTAAATGTTATGGAAGAAATTGATTGAGATTTAAATATTGTTTGGTTTAGATTATTGTATTAGAGAGAGAGAGAGAGAGAGAGAGAGAATGTTACAGACAGACAGACAGAGAGAGATATAATGTTACAGACAGATAGAGAGAGAGAGAGTTACAGACAGACAGACAATACCTGATCAGGGTGTCCGGTGAGAGTTATGCCGACAGTCTGACAGAGAATATCCCAAATCTTAATGGTAAGGTCCCCACCGGCAGCAGCCAACACCCCCTTCGACAATGGATGCCACTTGAGGATGGTCACCTATGGGGTAGTAAAGGTGGTCTGTAATGCCTGCGTGTGGATAGTGGTGTGGTGTATGGATAGTGATGGTGTGTGGATAAAACTGTAATATTTGTGTGGATAATGTTGATATTTGTGAGGATAAGTGGATAATGTTGTAATACTTGTGTAGGTAATGTTGAAGTGTTGAGATATTTGTGTGGACAATGCTGTAGTGTGTGGGTAATTGTACTACCAGTGTAGATAATGGCAAAAAAAAATCAGAATACAACGACAACAACCATTTTAATAACACTGCAATTACCACTTAAATAACTCAACAATAACAGCTTAAATAACATCACAATAACCACTTAAATAACACCGCAATCATCACCTAAACAGCCCCCACAAAACGTACTAAAAAACGATAACACCACCACTGCTCTGACCCCATAGCAGCTCACCTTATCAGCGGAACCTATATCCATGAACGTCTCGTCGGGTTAGATTGGCAGTCGCTCGTCAAGGCGCCCTCGAGAGTGTGCCAATTGATCTTCGGTATGCGCATATTGGGGGAAGGAGGGGGAAAAAATAACCAGGGTGTTATTGGCTCTCGTAGGGTTGTGGGGGTGGAGACAAAAACATTATGTAAAAAAACAAAGACGTTATATACAGACAAATTTACGTACACAGACAGAGATCAACCATCATGAAAAGTCCTCGACACACACACACACACACACACACTCACCGGCGGCTAATGTGTGTTTGTTGAACGGATCGAGCACAAAATCCATCACATTGGCCGTGTTCATGGCGATGGATAGCGCCCGTCCGGTTGCCGGCCTTGTTGTGCTTCAGGGCGGACAGTTTGCCGCCCGCCCACTGAGGGGTAACACCACGAACTCCGAGTTTGCTGTAAAATAGTGACGCGTTTAGTACCACAATTGAGGCTATTCACTTGTTTTTTTGGGGTTAGGGTTGGAAGTAGTGGAGGAAAACCTAACCAAACCTAACCTAATCTAACCAAACCTAAACTAACCTAACTCAATATAAAACAGTCTATATCAAATCTAACCTTCTCCCACAAAAATTGGATGCACCTAATACCCAATGAAATATATCCATGTATATCGTACCCTCCCCCCACACCAAACTCACCGGCCAGTCCATCGCACTCTCCCGGTGTTGTCCTGCTCAAGTCTCGCAGGTTCTCGATACACGTGTTTTTGTGTCCTGGGGTCCCCTTCAAGTGACGGAATTTGCAGACTCGCCCTGAAGGACATAAACAAAAAATATTCTAATAAAAAATAAAAAAAATATCGTAAATGCGTTTTTTTTATAGTTATTGTTATTTATGTTTTCCGATGGGAGGTAAAAATATCCACACAGAAACATATACACAGGCGCCTTACATATATACACAGGCCCACACACACATCAGTTGTATATATTTCTTACAGACATGTTACACTATGTACACAGACAAATATATATACGCACACACACACACTACTCCATCAATCGCACACAAAATCCTTCACGAAAAGAGCGGGTGATGGTGGATCTCCTAGAAATTGAGGCGGGGTTTCTCATCCATACTCATCATCCGCTGTTCAAACGTTTTTCTCCGTTCATAGCGATGGCCTTCGGCTAAATCACGGCGTTACTGGCTCTCAGGTCAGTGAATTATTTTGTCTGATGATTAAACAACTTAACACTAAACTAACCTAATTTAACACTAACCTACTCTAATCTAACACTAACCTAATCTAATTTAACACTAACCAAACTTAACACTAACCTAAACTAATCTAACCTAATTTAGCACTAACCTACTCTAACCTAACACTAACCAACCATAATTTAAATATAACTTAACCTAATTTAACACTAACTTCACTTTTTCGCTGCATTTCCGCTTGCCATTTTATTCCGGCTACCGTCAGACGATTTTATTCAGCTTAGGGTCCTCCGCGCAAAGGGGGAATTTGACACTAGCCTTAACTAACCTAACCAAACTAATCCACCTTACGATACCAATTCACGACTTCTCCGCCCCGGGATCGCCCGGAGACCAGACCAAAACGTCTCCAAAACTCACCCCAACGTTCTCCTTCTCCTCTTCCTGGATCGTCTTCTCTGGGCGTATCTCCTCCCGTCTCCTCTCCACCATCTTGTCATCCATGGAGACCGACCGAGATTCAAATGCCTTTCTGATGGAGGCCAGCTTGGATGTGTTCTCCTCCTCTTGCCGTGAGTGATCTCCTATGGGGGTTTAAATCATCTCTACAGTATCTGGTTAAGTAAGCCTAAGTCTTCATAAATTACTAAGTTAACCAGAGCCTAAGATCAATCATTACCCTTTTTCTAATTATAAATAATCTAGTGACAAGAGGAATAATTATTGAGCCTATAATCATAAATAATTGACAAGTCTAATCTATTATCATTCAGAACTACTGTATAATTTAGTTTTTTTCATTCGTAAATCTAATAATTTATAATTCACAAGTCTATAATCTTCAATAATTCACAAGTTTAAAATCTTCAATAATTCACAAGTTTATAATCTTCAATAATTCACAAGTTTAAAATCTTCAATAATTCACAAGTTTAAAATCTTCAATAATTCACAAGTCTATAATCTTCAATAATTCACAAGTCTATAATCTTCAATAATTCACAAGTTTAAAATCTTCAATAATTCACAAGTTTATAATCTTCAATAACTGGTGAGTAAAATTGATGTACTGTCGTTTGATTACAAGTAACGACAAACCGGAGCCAAACGACCCGACTGTCTGAAAGAGAGTGTGTTGACATTTTGTTGTTTTGGTCTGCGGTAAAAACAAACGCAAACAAACTGAGGAGGATATTAGTGTCATTGTTTTGATCTGCGGCAAACAAACGATCAATACACAAACAAAAGCAAGCAATAATAAGCTAAACACGGCAACAAGAAGCAAAAAATTAATTAAAAAACGGAAAGCGAGACGGAAAACTAAAATCGTTGCTTGTGATTGGTAGACCCCGATTAGACCCCAACTAGACCCCCAATAGACCCCAACTAGGCCCCAAAATACTTTAAATAGACCCCCATAGACTTTGATAGACCCCAATCAGACCCCAAATTTCCCCACCCAAAAAAATAAACACGACATCAACAAATATAAGGCCTACCCGGCCCTCCTTGGCCTCGTAATTTTCCGAGTTGGGAAATACTGATTCCGGCTGTGTTTTGTTTCCTCGTCCGTGTCTATACATTTCCCACCCACGTTCCGTCTGTTTCCTGTACCCGTGTTTGGGGACGAAGAGAGGGGGAGAGAAGGGCAGCGGTTGTAATAGTAGAAAAACGTTAAAAAAAACATTTATTTCTGGGGGACAATTTTCGAGAGGGGAGGGGGAGGGGATTTCTAAGGGGTATAGGGGGTAAAATCCTCAGTGGTGGGAATTTTCTGGGGATTATGGGATTAGGTTAGGTTTACACTACCCAGGAGGGACAGTGAGGGTGTTCTGAGTACCTTACACTGCCATGTCCTGGGTTGGGTTCGAGTCCTGGCCCAAGACAAATGAGATGGGTATTTGAGTACCTCTTTCTACCACATCCTGGGTTCATATCCTGGCCTGGGACCCTCATTACAGGTCAATAAAGGTCATAATAAACTAACAAATAAGAGAATAACAACCTAAATGGCTACTAAGTTAACAAGCCATTGATATGATGATTTAATATTAGTCATTGTACTTATAAGACCATCACTACAGTAGGTCATTACTACAGGGTCAAGACAGGTCATGCATGATTCTAGGTCACTGTAAGGTATTAACTACCAGGTCATGCATCAATTGTCGTCACTACCAGGTCATGCATCAACCACTGTCACTACCAGGTCATACATCAACCACTGTCACTACCAGGTCATCATCAACCACTGTCACTACCAGGTCATGCATCAACCACTGTCACTACCAGGTCATGCATCAACCACTGTCACTACCAGGTCATGCATCAACCACTGTCACCAGGTCATGCATCAACCACTGTCACTACCAGGTCATGCATCAACCACTGTCACTACCAGGTCATACATCAACCACTGTCACTACCAGGTCATGCATCAACCACTGTCACTACCAGGTCATACATCAACCACTGTCACTACCAGGTCATACATCAACCACTGTCACTATTAGGGTCATACATCAACCACTGTCACCAGGTCATACATCAACCACTGTCACTACCAGGTCATGCATCAACCACTGTCACTATTAGGTCATGCATCAACCACTGTCACTACCAGGTCATACATCAACCACTGTCACTACCAGGTCATGCATCAACCACTGTCACCAGGTCATGCATCAATTGTCGTCACTACCAGGTCATGCATCAACCACTGTCACTACCAGGTCATACATCAACCACTGTCACTACCAGGTCATGCATCAACCACTGTCACTACCAGGTCATGCATCAACCACTGTCACTACCAGGTCATGCATCAACCACTGTCACTATTAGGTCATGCATCAACCACTGTCACTACCAGGTCATGCATCAACCACTGTCACTACCAGGTCATACATCAACCACTGTCACTACCAGGTCATACATCAAACACTGACACTATTAGGTCATACATCAAACACTGTCACTACCAGGTCATGCATCAACCACTGTCACTACCAGGTCATACATCAACCACTGTCACTACCAGGTCATACATCAACTACCTATTAGGTCATACATCAACCACTGTCTACCAGGTCATACATCAACCACTGTCATGCATCAGCCACTGTCACTATTAGGTCATGCATCAACCACTGTCACTACCAGGTCATACATCAACCACTGTCACTACCAGGTCCTACATCAACCACTGTCACTATTAGGTCATACATCAAACACTGTCACTATTAGGTCATGCATCAACCACTGTCACTACCAGGTCATACATCAACCACTGTCACTATTAGGTCATACATCAAAACACTGTCACTATTGGGTCATACATCAACCACTGTCACTACCAGGTCATACATCAACCACTGTCACTACCAGGTCATACATCAACCACTGTCACTATGGGTCATACATCAACCACTGTCACTACGGGTCATATCACCACTGTCACTATTAGGTCATACATCAACCACTGTCACTACCAGGTCATACATCACTGACACTGGGTCATACATCAACCACACTGTCACTACCAGGTCATGCATCAACCACTGTCACTACCAGGTCATACATCAACCACTGTCACTACCAGGTCATACATCAGCCACTGTCACTATTAGGTCATACATCAACCACTGTCACTACCAGGTCATGCATCAACCACTGTCACTATGGGTCATACATCAACCACTGTCACTACCAGGTCATACATCAAACACTGACACTATTAGGTCATACACTGTCACAACATCACTGTCACTATTAGGTCATACATCAACCACTGTCACTACCAGGTCATATATCAACCACTGTCACTATTAGGTCATACATCAACCACTGTCACTACCAGGTCATACATCAAACACTGACACTATTAGGTCATACATCAACCACTGTCACTACCAGGTCATACATCAAACACTGTCACTATTAGGTCATACATCAACCACTGACACTACCAGGTCATACATCAACCACTGTCACTATTAGGTCATACATCAAACACTGTCACTACCAGGTCATACATCAAACACTGTCACTATTAGGTCATACATCAACCACTGTCACTACCAGGTCATACATCAAACACTGTCACTACCAGGTCATACATCAACCACTGTCACTATTAGGTCATACATCAAACACTGACACTATTAGGTCATACATCAAACACTGACACTATTAGGTCATACATCAACCACTGTCACTATTAGGTCATACATCAAACACTGTCACTATTAGGTCATACATCAACCACTGTCACTACCAGGTCATACATCAACCACTGTCACTATTAGGTCATACATCCATCTGTCACTACCAGGTCATACATCAACCACTGTCACTACCAGGTCATACATCAACCACTGTCTACCACCAACTGTCACTAGGTCATGCATCAACCACCACCACATCAACCACATCACTAGGTCATGCATCAACCACTGTCTACCAGGTCATGCATCAACCACTGTCACTACCAGGTCATGCATCAACCACTGTCACTAGGTCATGCATCAACCACTGTCACTACCAGGTCATGCATCAACCACTGTCACTACCAGGTCATACATCAACCACTGTCACTAGGTCATGCATCAACCACTGTCACTAGGTCATGCATCAACCACTGTCACTAGGTCATGCATCAACCACTGTCACTTGCCTCCTTCTGAATCTCAAACGTTTTGCGAAGCTGAGCGAGGTGGTTCTTTAACGGGGAGTCGGTAGTTAGGTCGTCCTCGTTAGTCAGGTTTTTATTTTCCTGGAGGGGGAAGCTCGAACGCACAGCGGGCTTGGGCATTTGGCACGGCTTACCAGGCATGAGGCATGGCTGGAACGTTCAGGAGTGGCGTTCAGCAATCAGAGGTGGAGTGGGGGTGTGTGGGAGGACAATCAGAGAAGCAGAAAGGGCATTAGAAGCAGGAAATCAGAGAGGCAAAAAAGGCATGGCAGTCAGAGAGGCATAAGGGGCATTGAAGGACAAAACTGGGTTACTTGTCTTTGGTTGTACACAAGACAGACAGGCATAGATGGACAGACAGACAGAGAGAGATATTTTTGGGGGCATACACAAATACCACAGGGCATACACAGTTATTTCGGCCATACAGGCATACCCAATTTACAATGAACAGATTTACAGGTTTTTTTTTACAAGTATGATTTTACGGATGATTTACAAATTATTATTTTCAAATGACCGATTTCCGGATGATTTTTTACATGTAGTATGACATCCCAAGGACCGATTTACGGGTAATTTACAGATCCGACATGTAAATTGGGATGCTTGTAGATCAGAAATTTACACGAATATGAAGATTTGTCGTATTAGGGATTATTTCGTGCAGTCCCCCCCCACCTCTCCAACGTTGTATCTTAAAGATGTATTCAATAGCCTCAAACACCCCCCCCTCCCCAAACCACTGGACATCAACACACACACACACACACACACAACACACACACATATAAAACAAAACCCACCTCATGGCAACAAAAGAAAAACAAAACCCACCCCATGGCAACACTAACAAAATTCACCTCATGGCAACACAACGACGGCAACGCACTCTACCTTTACGGCGACCATTGGTTTAGAGAGCGTTGGCCGCACCTCCCCCATGGGCTTGGCGTCCGTGCCGTTGGATATTCGTGACCTGGGAGCGGGTACTGGCAGGCCAACGTCCAACGACCTGTTCTCTTCCTGACTGCTCAACGGCCCGCGATGAATCTGGGAACGAGACGTCAATGTATAATCGAGTAATATTCATTGATGTATTAGAATGTATGACGTCAATGCATGTATAATACAGAGGAACGTATATTAAAAGACCAATAATGTATACAACGTACATCCCAAACATACAACCATCTCACATCAACAACAACAACAACCCCACGATGAAATAAAATACTCGTCGATTATATAAACAAACCAAGGGAGGGGTCTGAGTTACAGGTGATCTCATTAACGAGCATCTCACCTGGAGTTTAGGTCTCCGGGTAATCTCACTAACGGGTCTCGAATCTCACCTGGAATTTAGGGATCCAGGTAATCTCACTAACGAGTCAATTCTCACCTGGAATTTAGGGATCCAGGTAATCTCACTAACGAGTCAATTCTCACCTGGAATTTAGGGATCCAGGTAATCTCACTAACGAGTCAATTCTCACCTGGAATTTAGGGATCCAGGTAATCTCACTAACGAGTCAATTCTCACCTGGAATTTAGGGATCCAGGTAATCTCACTAACGAGTCAATTCTCACCTGGAATTTTGCCGCAGGTCGCTTAGTGGGGTCCAGAGAGATGGTTTTGACTGGGGTGCTCGTTCCGGCAAGCCACTGGGAGATTGATGTAGAGGGTTCGTATCCTGGGGTGTCCGGAAAGATGTCTGCGTGGAACTCTCTGTATGTCTGTCGATGAGGCGTTGATTATTGGTATGGCAATATTGTGTGGTAGAAAATATTGGTATGGCAGTATTGTGTGGTAGAAAATATTGGTATGGCAATATTGCACGATGAAAACTACAGATATGGCAACAACATCTGGTACAATTTCTCCAGATAAGTCATAAAATGCAGATATGGCAACAGTGCATGGTAAAACAAACTGGTATGGCAACTGGCCGACTGACCTTACGAGGCACTTGGTACGTAATTGGGATGATGGCGTTGGAGGTCAGTTGCAGAAGGCGATTGACCTCTCCTGCCATCACGTCCAGACCGCGTTTGGGCACCAGACACGCCCCCTTGGTCTGTACGGAGCCTGGGGGAGGGGTGGCAGAGTGGCGACTTAGTAGTGGCGACGGTGGCAAATGACTTATCAATAACAGAGGTAAAAGGAAATTAGTTAACAAACAATAATGTAAATAATAATAAAAATAATAATAATAATAATAAAATAACAATAATAATAACAATAATATTAATAATAACAATAATAATAATAACAATAAAAATAATAATAATAATAACAATAATAATAATAATTTATAGTACCTGTAATAAGAATTAACCCATAACCAGTACACATCAATGTCAGGTAGCAAGGGAGGTCTTACAAGGTCCTATAAGGTCCTATAAGGTCCTATAAGGTCCCACAAGGTCTTAGGTTGATCCACACAGGATAAACTTACCATTGTGTTTGAGTCCTTCAGTGAGGAAAGGATCTTTATCAGTCACCTCCCAGTACATGATGCTCACGTCAGCCTTGCCCGCCAGGAACACCATGTTGGTATCTGGGTCGTACAGCGGCATGAGGATACTGCCGGACGTGAGAAAATATTAGCGGTGAGTCGATTAACATCTTGTGTATGGGGGTCACCTCTGAGCTGAATAAAATTATCCGTTGTTAATATTAAAACTAACAAATTTACCGATTAAAAGCAATTAATTACAGTATACCCAGACAGTCGATGATTTAGACTAATTAATTACACTCACCCAGTCGACGAATCAAAACCCTTACACTCACCCAGTCGACGAATCAAAACCCTGTATTTTATAAGGTTTGGAGAAATTGCGGAGATCCCTTAACCGGACCTCTCGTACTCTTGAGCTGTCCCAACCGGTCGACAAGATGCGATCGGTCTGGCCGAGCCACTGGACCCTCGAGTCCTTAGGGCTTTTATGGCTCTCGGCCTAGAAAATAAAGATTAAATTAAAAGGTGTCTCATGGTTCCCACACATACACACATAATAACAACAATGATGATAATAATAATAATAACTACAAATGAACTAATAATAGGTAAATAAGTAGTACCGAAGCTGATATGTATTCCTAAACCTCCTGTGGTAACCCGAGCCTCCAAATGGTCAGGCTAATCCGCCAATCACGTCCGTAGTTAGTCGACCAATACCCATTCATTCATAAACAGTGACACTACTGCGGTGATGTTGTCGTTAGGTTATAGAGGTTACCACAGGAGGCGTAGGAACACATTTCCGCAGCTGTGCAAATGAACGGATAAAGTCCCGCAGTGTAGTAAGATTAACCTGCGGCCACACTCACCTTGTCGGCCAAAGAACCGATTGGCCGGCTGAATAAATGAAAAAATAAGCAATGTTAATCTGCGGCCAAAACTCACCTTGTCGGCCAAAGAACCGATTAGCCGCTTGAAGAAATAAAAATAAAATAAACAATGTTAATCTGCGGCCGAAACTCACCTCGTAGGCCACTTTATCAGCTCTGGGGTCGACGATGCGAATGGTACGATCCCTGGACGTAGACACAAATAGGGACCCAGTACCGTCCCAACTCGTGTTCTGAACCTGGTCCTCGTGTCCACTGAAGCCTTGGGGGTCAGGAGGCAGGGAGGGGCAGCATGGGGTGGTAGGGTAGGGGGTGGTGGTAGGGTAGGTGGTGGTGGTAGGGTAGTGGTAGGAGGGTAGGGGGTGGTAGGGAAGAAATGGGAGGGGAGGGAGGAAAGGGAGTGGGAGGGAGAGGAAAATGGAGGGGAAGTCTGTTGTCATTGCATCTCTACGGTTAAAGTCTCGCTAAAAACAACAACACCATCTCACCACACGCTAAAAAAAAAAAAAAGCAACAACAACAATGCTTCCATCTTCTACAGCAGCGTAAACACACCATATCTCATCTACTGAAGCAGGTCTAAGTTAACCCCTATCAAAATTAGCCCAAACATTAGTTAACATAAGTGAGTCTAAGTTAACATAATCAAAATTAGTCCAGATTAGTTCGCTATTAATTAAAATAAAAAAATACTCACGGTGTTTGGGTTCGCGATCTGCAAGTCTTTATTCTGGGTGGAAAATATCACCGAGATTACCGCACGAGTTTATTTCACCTGATGATTAAGCACCATTTTGCTACCTATAGGGGGGTTGGGAGTTAGGTTAGGATATATTAGGATAGGTTAGGTTAGCATTAGTGTGGTTAACCCTAAGGTGTAATAAGCTCGGGGTGGGGGGACGTGGGGGGGGGTAATCTTCAGGTGATCTCTAAAACAGACCCCCATGTAACTACGACCCCACGACTCAGTACACGCCCTATGAGTCACTGTACAGGACACCCCATGACTCACTATAAACTTCCTTTTCGTGCTTGATGTCCCAGAGTTTGACCGTGTCGAAGTACGCAACCGTCAGCAAGAATTCCGTCGTGGGGTGGAAGAGCACGTTCTCTACCCGCTTGTCGAACTGCGGCAGCGAGTATTCTGGGTCTGATAGGCTCTCCGTCAATCCAGCCTCGGGTATGTGCCACACTCGAACCTGTTGGCGAGAAAAATAAATTAATAAATAACGTTGTTTTTATTTTCGGTAGTTTTTGGGTTTAGATGGTATTAGAATTTTTTGTCGCCTTAAGATTGGAATGTTAAATCGAGGTTAAGTTAGGTCAAATTACATCAAGTTATATTAGACAAAGTTTAAGTTAGGTTATGTTATATCAAGGTTAAGTTAGATAAGGTCAAGTCAAGTCAGGTCAGGTCAGCAGTCTTACATTGGCATCGGTCGAGCTCGTGGCCAGCAGTCCATCGTCAAACGGGGAGAAGTTAAAGTCCGTAATCAAATCGGAGTGACCGTGGATCAGCGGGGTCGAGGAATCAACTCGGCCTTTGTAGTCTAGTGGGACGAGGCCGAGACTCCCGCCACCTGGGGAAATAAGGACGTGGTTAATTATCATACATCAGCCAATCTGTTTAACCATCAGAGGAAATATGACAATTATCAAACATCAGCCCAGACGAGTTAATTATCGTACATCAGTCAATCTGTTTAACCATCAGAGGAAATATGACTGTTATCGTACATCAGCCCAGACGAGTTAATTATCGTACATCAGTCAATCTGTTTAACCATCAGAGGAAATATGACTGTTATCGTACATCAGCCCAGACGAGTTAATTATCGTACACCAGCCAATCTGTTTATCCATTTAACTATAGATCAGACAAGTAAAAAACATAAATAATAAAATAGAGCTTTATACGCCTGACCCCTTACCTCTGTTCTCGACATTGAAGGCGATGAACGCAGCGGAAGCCTTGATATGATTCCCGCAGGACTGGGGCGCTCCGACCTTAATGTCACTCACCCAGTCCTCTTTCTTCGGCAACAAAGGGGCGGCATTTTTGTACTTGCTCACTTTAAACCTCCAAGCCATATTGCCAGCCTGGGGTCGGATGTAGAAACACAAGAGATATATTACTTTGGTAGGTTAGGTAAATAGTAACATAATCTAACCTAACTATAACGTAACAAAACCTAACCTAACAATAACGTAACGTAACCCAATACTAACGTAACTTGACACTAACCTAACGCTACCCTAACCAAACCAAACCTAACTTAACCATACCAAAGTCTTACATACATATCTTGCTAAGGGAACCCTAGAATAAGATGCATTTATTACAGCAGTGAGAGTGAGTGTCGTCGGTGTTTAATATACATACGTTACGTCGGCATGAGAGAATGAATAATGTGTACAAGAATAATACATGTTTATTTTGACGATCTTTAGCCCTAGTGGTCAGGTGGCAGCCTAGAGCAGCAACAATAATAATAATAATAATAATAATAATAACAATAATAATAATAACAATAATAATAATAATAATAATAATAATAATAATAATAATAATAACAATAATAATAATAATAATAATAATAACAATAATAATAATAATAATAATAATAATAACACACAAACACAGACACACACACAAACACAGACACACACACAAACACAGACACACACACACACACAGACACACACACAAACACACACAGATACACATACACAGTTAACAGCAATGTCTTAATTACTCATATATCGTAATAATTGTCTATCTGTCACACAAAACACACCTATGGGCCCTAATCAACCCAGAATCCCTCCCCAATACGATAAGGTTAAATAATCATTCCCCGATAGCTTTACATAACAGATAACGGAGATGATTATGCAATACACAAAACCTCGATATAATGGACTTTAATCTCTATATAGTACATTAGTGGGGTTGTTTTCACTGTCCTGGCTCTGTCTCTCTCTGGTGTAAAGTACCGGGGCAGAGTTGTGATAAGAACAAGCACCGGATGTTCACTATCAAAGATGTAATGTCAGAGATAAGAATAACAGCTATTAGTCAAGTTGTTTCTAAGATGTAATAAAATAATAATAATAATAATAATAATAATAATAGTAATAATAATAATAATAATAATAATAATAAAAATAATAATAATAATAATAATAATAATAATAAAAATAATAAAAATAATAATAATAAAAATAATAATAATAATAATAATAATAATAATAATAATAATAAAAATAATAATAACAATAATAACAATAATAATAATAATAATAATAATAATAATAATAATAATAATAAAAATAACAATAATAATAATAATAATAATAATAACAATAATAATAATAATAATAATAATAAAAATAATAATAATAATAATAACAATAATAATAACAATAATAACAATAATAATAATAAAAATAATAATAATAATAATAATAATAATAAAATCAGATACATTTCATAGTCATTTAAATACCACCAAGATAATCTAAATAATTACACCAATTAGAAAAATAATTAGACATATTAGACAATAAAATAAACCTTTAGACATATAGATATTGCTAGACATTTTAGGCCTAAATATAAGATAAATAAGTGAGAATTAGGGTAAAAAATATGATTAATTTAGCCATAAAAGAGTCTTGCCATATTACACCTGAAAATAAACAAATAAACAGGTAAACAAGGTGTAATTGGTGATAGGGTGATTATATAGTTGGATTTCTATCTTAATCCTCCTTTAAATAGGGTTAAAATCCAGAGAAATCGGGAATTAATGTGAGATTTAAATCCACCATAGATGCTAGTGACCATTCCGCCCCTCCCTACCCACCAATCAGCGTCGTGTTTTTACCTTATTTAATCCATTTATACGAGATTTATCGGGGATTTATTTATTTTGAGGGGATTATCTGTCCTTGTGGATGTTTTTATATCAGTGTAGGAGGTTGAGTTAGGTGTTTGTGAGGAATTATGAAGGAAAATGATAATACCTCTGTGTTTAGCGTTCCCAGGCTGGCGTCGTCTGTTTTGTTGACAGCCAAGAGCTTCACCAGGGATCCCGTTGATAAATATACCATCCTATCATATCTTCTGTCCTTATCTGAGCTTTTTAAACACACTTATTTGAATATAATTTGTAGAGTATTTTATTTTTGATTTATTTATATATATTTTTGAGATATTTATGGTGTATTTTTGGAGATTATTGATATTTTGTCGCCAATGTTGGTGTTTATCATTACCTGGTTTCTATTTGAACTTACGGGAGTTATCAAGTTTTTATGTTATTTTCGTGTTATTTTTGTGTTAAATATTTTATTTTATGTAAATTTAACTTGTTAGTTGTTTGTGTTTAGTTATTTGGGATAATTTGTCTTGGGATTCTTTGTGCATACACACCCAGTGGGTGATGTTATAATAATTACCACGATTCATGCTATATTCATCTATTTTTCAGTCAATAGAAAATAATTAAATATATCTTTAGCTAAATTTAATTACTCTATCCTTTTAGTATTGAAATATGTCATGTTAGGTTAGGTTTAGTTTTGTTTTACAAGAGATTTACTGGTTCAGTGGTGCATCATCGTGGTTCTTTAATAACATTCTTTAACTAGCGATGCACAGTGGTGGGTATTTCCCCTAGGATGAACAACGACCTGTCTAGACACATCGACAGAACTTTAATTTCACCGAAAATCTTAATAAACATCAAGTTAATTTATATAAAAAGTTTATACGTGTTAATCAATATTGATGTACCTTCTACTGACTTTAATTTTAACAGATTTTGATAATTATTTACACAATCATGTATACACGTAATAGGTATCTTGTTATAAAAAAGATTTAATTACATTACTATAGCTATAATTTGAATACCAATAACTTATAAAATATGAATTAATTAGAGTAAATATAATCAATTTAGGAAAAAAGCCTTTGTTGATGAAGGGATGTCTCTGTTTATCTTAGGAAAAATAATAAGGCTTCCCCAGCCAAAGCAGCGGGTATATACTTCTTAAATGTTTGTTTGTATAATAAATAGCTCAATATTTATTAAAAAAACAGATTAATTCTAATTTAATAACATATATTATATTAAATAAAACTAGTATAAGTAAACAAAATTTGATGAAAATTGAAACGAATAATAAAAAAGATGAGGATTCTCTTGTTTATAGTTTTATTCTTCATATTCAATTTTCTGCAGTTTCGTACTATTTAAAAAATATTAATAAATATATTTGTTAATGAACAATAAAATTGTTATATAACAAGTATTCATTTTTCAAGTTACATATTCAGCTAGATAAATAATGTTAACAATATACTACGAACCCTAAAAAATAAAAAAATATATATTTCTCTTAAAATCTAAATAAAATACATATTTCAATAAAAAATAATAAACAAAAATAAAATTGAATTAAATAACGTAAAATAAATAAGAATATAACCTTAGACGTGATAACTAAATAAATCTAAAATGTTCGTGGTAACTGATAACATTAACTACGGTACAAAATTCGACTAAGAATAACACAAACTGGCAACTGGACCAGAGGGACGCTGAAGGCCATATCATAATTAACCCCAAATTCTCCTTAAAATGCCGTAATTATACCACATTACCTTAAGTTAACTTCAACATAAACTCATAAAGAATCTCACTAATTAGATAAAGTACAGATATATTAGAGACTTGAGGAATTATTGAGTAAATAAGTTTATCACTGGTGTCATACTGTGTTAATATGTCGTCATAGTTTAAGGAATATAATTAGTGTATTATATAGCCTTATAGGGGTTAATTTAGCTTGGTAATTAGTATAGTATTAATGCTTGATAACTATGTGTAAGTAATTTTTGTAGGTCATTTACTATAGGGATATATATATACTTTATTTTAGGTTATATTATTTGTTATATTATGTATGTTATTTTTATGTTATTTATAAATATTTAAGGTTTAATAATCATTTATAATCTCTCGGTAATTTTTCAAGACTAGAGATTGATAATTATTTATGTATTTTAATTATTTTTTTATATTTTAATTATTTTTCTATAATATTTTAATTAATTTTTATTCTATATGTATTTACAATTTAATCTCCCCCCCCCCCCACAGGTGATGTCTCTGTTGCGATGGATTTTAGGACGGGTGCCTGGGGCCTCGGCGGTCGTGAGTCACAGGCCAAGAGACGCAATACTCGTCCTATCACGCCTCGCCCGCATCGTACCGGCTCTATCGCCCTCTCGTGGGATGTCCGGGAGGAGTCGTAGCTTCCCGCCCGCCAGGCCCCCATGGTGCGTCCGGAGGTGGTGTTATCTCGCCAGTACCTCGGTTCCAAAGATCGACGTAATCGATGTGCCTCGTGGAGCGGAAGGTGTGCTGTATAGATGCAAGTCCACCACTGCTTCGGATTCCAGCTTCACTCGACCGGGAACTGTTTTAAGCGAAAGAGTCGGGGTCGAGAAGAGTAGTCCGGACGTATCGCTCGACTGTCGGCCAAATTTACGCCCTAGAGTCGAGAACGAGGACGACGGCAAAGATTTATCGCTCGACTATGGGCCAGACCCGACGATCCCTCAGAAGATCGTACAGAAGGTGTCCAAGATATTACGAGCGTACCTCCAGCTGATGAGACTAGACCGTCCAATAGGGTCTTGGCTTCTCTTCTGGCCGTGTGGTTGGAGTATAGCCTTAGCGGCGTCGCCAGGGTGTCCGCCTGACCTCGGCATGCTGGCGTTGTTCGCGTGCGGCGCTGTGGTGATGCGGGGTGCCGGCTGTACCATCAACGATATGTGGGACAGGGATTATGACGGGAAGGTCGGTTGTTTTGATTTACGGTAGATGAGGTTAGGGTAGGGTAGGGTAGGTTAGGTTAGGTTGGGTTAGGGTAGGGTTTGATTGGGTTATGTTACATTAGATTAGATTAGGTTAGTGTTAGTTAGTTAATCTTAAAGTGAAATAATTGATATTGTCATAATTCTTGTTAATGGAAGCGTCCGGCTGAAGCAAGAAATCCGTTAATAATTGATCAGTCAATATCAGTTTCCTGTCAGTAATTAAAGACTCCCTGTATCAGTTATCAACCTGATCCCTAATACCTCCCTAATACCTTATATTCTTAACAGTTATCCTACTACTCCATAATTTACCTTATAGATATTTCTGAATACCACTTTTGTTTTGACTAGGAATTTTTGTCCGAACTTATCATTTTTCCTTCAGATATTAATAAAGATTAATCCATAAATAATAACCCAATGGAATTATAAATAAAATCTATATGTTCAACAACGTACAATATATTAATCTTTGTTTTTATTAGAATTGACCCGTATTTGGCCGAGCCTTAGGGATTTGAATGTTAGAAAAACTTATTCCGAGATACACCCCGAGAGCAACTAATGATTATACCTCACTCTGACATGTTTGGTGGGTCACTGATTCACATGATGACAGTCTGCTGTGGTTAGCTAGCTGAGAAAGGTGTCAGGTACTGATTGGTTAATATTACTTTACATTAAATATTATAATAAATCTTTTTTACAGCTTTTCCAATGTGAACAGAAGGGCGCCCTCTACATGATGGTAGAACAATTGGGCATAGGTACATAAATATTTTGAATTACGCAATCAAAATCCGTCTGCAGATAGCCATAGACGACAGCTCTTCTCAGGGATATTTCTGAATAGTTTCGAGATTTTCCAATTTTCATCCGGACGATTCCCCTTAATAGGTTAGGTTAGGGTAGTTCAGGTTAGGTTAAGGTAGTTAAACTTAAATAACAATTGATAGTCGTTAATTCTTGTTAATGTGTTATTGTAAATCTAACATGAATGGTCAACACAGGTAGCCAGAACAGCCGCCCGACCCCTAGCAAGTGGCGCTCTCTCCATGTTTGACGCATTCGTGTGTTTGGGAACGCAGTTGAGCTTAGGCTGCCTCATACTGCTGCAGCTTAACTGGTATGCGGTGCTACTTGGAACCAGCTCGTTAGGTAAGCTTGATTGTTTGTGATTATTACATCCCTGGCGACGTCGTTGGATCGTTAGGTTATTTGGATTATGAGATGATTAGCTCTGTAGATTATTTCACCTGGGGTTTAAATTCCCTAATGTTACCTCAGGGTTAAGTTAGGTTAGATTAGGTCAGGTTAAGTTAGGTTATATTAGGTCAGGTTAAGTTAGGTTAGTTTAGGTTTTAAAGAGTCAGGTTAGATTAGGTTGTAACCCCATAATGAAGCGAAACTAATATCCTCGCTTCACTCTACAGGTCTGATCGTGTTGTATCCGTTAATGAAGCGAGTCACGTACTGGCCTCAGCTCATGCTAGGCTTCACCTTCAACTGGGGAGCACTCCTAGGGTGGGCTGCGGTCCACGGGTCTTGTGAGTGGGCGGTGTGTCTGCCGCTGTACGTCTCCGGCATCGCTTGGACCCTCATCTACGACACGATATACGCACATCAGGTAAACGTGTGGGGTCTTATTTACGACTATATGCACATCAGGTAAACGTGTGGGGTCTTATTTACGACTATATGCACATCAGGTAAACGTGTGGGGTCTTATTTACGACTATATGCACATCAGGTAAACGTGTGGGGTTTTATTTACGACTATATGCACATCAGGTAAACGTGTGGGGTCTTATTTACGACTATATGCACATCAGGTAAACGTGTGGGGTCTTATTTACGACTATATGCACATCAGGTAAACGTGTGGGGTCTTATTTACGACTATATGCACATCAGGTAAACGTGTGGGATCTTATTTACGACTATATGCACATCAGGTAAACGTGTGGGGTCTTATTTACGACTATATGCACATCGGGTAAACGTGTGGGGTCTTATTTACGACTATACGCACATCGGGTAAACGTGTGGGGTCTTATTTACGACTGTGCACATCGGGTAAACGTGTGGGTGTCTCGTGTGACGATAAACAGATGTACTATGGGGTCGGTCAGCTGCTCTTGTGATGGGGTGTTCTTTGAGTTTTAATGGAGAGAGGGAGAGAGAGAGAGACTGAGAGAGAGAGTGACAGAAAAAGAGACAGACAGACAGACAGACAGACAGACAGAGAGAGACAAATCAATAATGAGCTTAAATGAATACATACATACACACACATACATACATACATACATACATACATACACACATACATACATAAATATTCATACAATTATGATCAGTTTACGGCAGAACTTACTTGACTGATGCGATGATTTTCCACATGGTGGGATTTTTGTTTATTATCCTTATAATTTATCTGTAGCATTAGGTTAAGTTTGTTAAGGTTTGGTTAGGTTAAGGTTTGGTCATGAATCTTACTACTTAGAGATAACTTAACCCAATTATCTTCTAACCTAATGCTAACCATAAGCCGATTTAAGTTAACCTGACCTTACTGTAATTCCCGTCGTCATTTTGATTAATTACAGCGATTAATGTATTTTGTTTCTTACAGGACAAATACGACGACGCGATAATCGGCATCAAGTCGACGGCCCTCAAATTCGGCGACTCGACGTGGAAATGGCTGACGGGCTTTGGGGTAACGATGATCTCGAGCCTAATATTGACGGGCTATAACACCCAGCTGGCATGGCCCTATTATCTGGCTGTCTCGGCTACTGCGGCCCACATAACGAACCAGGTAACTTGACTAGCTTCTTGTGTATTGGTTTATGGGTAATCGTATAGGCCCTTGGGGTAGTGGCGATGGTGGTGGTGGTAATAATTGATTCTTGATAGGTAGAAAATAGCAATAAAATGATGATGATGATGTAATGACAATAATAATGATGTAATGACAATAATAATGATATAATGACACTTACCCCTGACAGATATGGACACTAGATATTAATAACCCAGTCGACTGCGGCCAGAAATTCCGAGCGAACCGTCACATCGGCCTGTTGCTGTTTGCTGGCATCGTTGGAGGAACCATGCTGAAAATGAATCACTCTAGCCTAGGGCCTAAGGAAGATAAGCCTCACAGCATCGACGGTGATTCACAGACGACCGAATCATCGTAATTGACAGTCGATTCAATTACAGTTTTATGCCAAATAAATATATTTTCTGTATATATATCACAAATCACAAAGAAATCAATGTAATTACCGTAATTGACAGTCGATTGAATTACAGTGAATCACCCAACAGGGATTTATTTTCTGTGTGTGTAGAGCAATTAACAATAATATTTCAGTTAAGTCACAGTAATTGACAGAAAATCAATATATTTATCGTAATTGACACCAAAAATTAGTATTTATTGTTATTAATGAAAGATAAATTCAATAATTATGTTGTTTTTTATGAAAGAAAGTTGTCTGCTGTGTTTGTGCATGTTTGGTAGTTTTTTTGCAATAAGAACAGATGATTTTATTCAGCTCGGAGGTGACCCCATACACCAGGGGATAATGAACAGAAAAAATCAATTCGTAATTTAACTTTTTTACGAAGAATTATAGTTTCCGTGATTCACTGTGATTTAAATATTCACTATTTCTCGACTGTTAATTTTGTAATAATATTTTTTGATCACCTGAAGATTAGACATCCCAGTTAATTTCACCTGAAGATTAAACACTCGAATGCTTCCTGTGGGGTTAAGTTAGGTTATGGTACGTTAGTTTTGGTTACGTTACGTTAGGTTATGGTAGCTCAGGTTAGTTAATGATACGTTTGGTTAGGTTAGCATAGGTTGATTAAAGGTACGTCTGGTTAGGCTCGCATTAGGGTCGTAAATCTCCAGGTGAAATAATCCGAGGGTGTTTAAATCCTCTAACGATCCCAAAGCTACCACTCTCATTTGGGGGGTAAATGACTATATGGCAAGTAACGATGTATGTATCTAGTCATCCAGAATCGACGCCAACGGAACGCTAAAATAAACGGAACTTATCTAGAGGCTGGGGTGGGGGGAGGGGGGGGAAGAGGGAAATATTTTGTATGTAAATAAAAATTGTTTATATTGAAGTTGCTGTCGGGTTATTTGATTCCGTCCCCAGTTATATATTGCGGAGTGTGTGAGTTTTATTTGGCCTTATTGTCCAGGTCAAGGAAAGTACTTAATATAATGTCTCAGTTTTGGCTCTACTGTCCAGGTCAAGGGAAAGTACTTAATGTACAGTACCAGTTTTGTGCATTACTGTCCAGGTCAAGGAAAGTACTTAATGTAATGTATTAGTTTTGGCCCTACTGTCCAGGTCAAGGGAAAGTACTTAATGTACAGTACCAGTTTTGTGCCTTACTGTCCAGGTCAAGGAAAGTACTTAATGTAATGTATTAGTTTTGGCCCTACTGTCCAGGTCAAGGGAAAGTAGTTAATATAATGTACAGTACCAGTTATTGCCCTACTGTCCTGCTCAAGGGAAAGTACTTAATGTAATGTATTGGTTTTGGCCCTACTGTCCAGGTCAAGGGAAAGTATTTAATGTAATGTACAGTACCAGTTATTGCCCTACTGTCCTGCTCAAGGGAAAGTACTTAATGTAATGTATTAGTTTTGGCCCTACTGTCCAGGTCAAGGGAAAGTACTTAATGTAATGTACAGTACCAGTTATTGCCCTACTGTCCTGCTCAAGGGAAAGTACTTAATGTAATGTACAGTACCAGTTATTGCCCTACTGTCCAGCTCAAGGGAAAGTACTTAATATAATGTACAGTACCAGTTATTGCCCTACTGTCCTGCTCAAGGGAAAGTACTTAATGTAATGTACAGTACCAGTTATTGCCCTACTGTCCAGCTCAAGGGAAAGTACTTAATATAATGTACAGTACCAGTTATTGCCCTACTGTCCTGCTCAAGGGAAAGTACTTAATGTAATGTACAGTACCAGTTATTGCCCTACTGTCCAGGTCAAGGGAAAGTACTTAATGTAATGTACAGTACCAGTTATTGCCCTACTGTCCAGCTCAAGGGAAAGTACTGTACTTAATATAATGTACAGTACCAGTTATTGCCCTACTGTCCAGCCCAAGGGAAAGTACTTAATGTAATGTACAGTACCAGTTATTGCCCTACTGTCCAGCTCAAGGGAAAGTACTTAATGTAATGTACAGTACCAGTTATTGCCCTACTGTCCAGCTCAAGGGAAAGTACTGTACTTAATATAATGTACAGTACCAGTTATTGCCCTACTGTCCAGCTCAAGGGAAAGTACTGTACTTAATATAATGTACAGTACCAGTTATTGCCCTACTGTCCAGCTCAAGGGAAAGTAGTTTATGTACAGTACCAGTTATTGCCCTACTGTCCAGCCAAGGGAAAGTAGTTTGGATTTGTTTTTTTCTGCCATATTTTGCCATGTGTGTAAGCTTGTGTACATGTGTGTAGCTTGTGTACATGTGTGAACCTGTACACATGTGTGTGTGTATATATGTATGTGAACCTGTGTACATGTGTGTATGTATATGTATGTGAACCTGTGTACATGTGTGTAAGCTTGTGTACATGTGTGTAAGCTTGTGTACATGTGTGAACCTGTGTACATGTGTGTGTGTGTATATGTATGTGAACTTGTGTATATGTGTGTATGTATATGTATGTGAACCTGTGTACATGTGTGTAAGCTTGTGTACATGTGTGTAAGCTGTGTACATGTGTGAACCTGTGTACATGTGTGTGTGTGTGTACATGTGTGTAAGCTTGTGTACATGTGTGAACCTGTGTACATGTGTGTGTGTATGTATGTGAACCTGTGTACATGTGTGTAAATCTGTGTACGTTTGTGTGGGTATTCATGTGGATGTAAAGTTGGTGTACGTATTTAATTATCTTATTTAACACTATATTTGAGGCTGATAATTGATAAGTAATTAATTATACTAACTTTTTATTTATTATTCAGGTTAAAATAAAAGTTTAATTAAGTTAATGAAGTTAAATAGATAAGATAGGCCTCTCTCCTGTCACCCTGTCTAAACGGTTTGCATCTTGACATTTGATTGGTTACTGAAAAACAGGTATTCAAAAACGTTTCTCTGATTGGTCATTTAATCTCCGGAGATGTAAGATGCTTCGTGATTGGTTAGAGTCATTATTCCCGCCGTGGTTGATTCAGGCAAGATGGAAGGTGGGAGTTGATGATATATTACGTGATTATTCTTTAAATAAGTGAAATAATGGCGTGAAACAACTACCAAAAGGTACGTCAATTATTAATACATATTGTGAGTAAGTTAAGTTGTCTTTAATTATAGTTTTTAATGAAATAATTGGTAATTAATGATGGTGGATTTTGACATTTCATGGTAGCTATTGGCCGCTGTTGCTAGGTGGGTAATTATCTTCAATATATTTAATTATTCCTCAATTAACACGACTTTAAAGGCTGATAATTGATTACTAATTAATCATTAATTAATATTTGGGTTAAAATTGTTTAATTAAATTAGTAATAAAGGCGTCTCTCCGTCACCATGTCGAAACGGTTTGTATACTGACACGTGATTGGTTCCTCAGCTTGAAATCCCAAATACTCTGATTGGTCAAATAATTTCCGGGGATGTGAAGCTTCATGATTGGTCAGATTCATTACCTCCTGCCATCAAGGACGACATAAGAAAGATAGAAAGCGACAGCGCCATCTATTGAGTTCGCGCCGCACTATATGGCTACATAGGAAAGCGACAGCGCCATCTATTGAGCTCGCTTCTCGCTATATGACTACATAAGAAAGATAGGAAAGCGACAGCGCCATCTATTGAACCCGCGCCTCACTATATGGCTACATAGGAAAGATAGGAAAGCGACAGCGCCATCTATTGAGCTCGCGCCTCACTATATGGCTACATAAGAAAGATAGAGAAGCGACAGCGCCATCTGTTGAGCTCGCGCCTCACTATATGGCTACATAAGAAAGATAGGAAAGCGACAGCGCCATCTATTGAGCTCGCGCCTCACTATATGGAGCATCATTTTTTAAAGATGGCTGACGTCAATTTTTCATATAAAATATACTTAAAAATGTGTTAATATAACCTATTTTATGTAGTTATTTAAGTCAACTGAATGCTAAAATAATTATTGTTTTTAGTAGCAGTATTTTGGGAGGTGAAGGATATATGTAAATTGTTTTATGGTTTATTTTCTTCAATATATAAATGTGGATAATAAAAGTCCAAGCGGTTTGCATCTTGACATTTGATTGGTTACTGAAAAGCGCGTAATCCAAAACACCTCTCTTGATTGGTCAATTGAACTACTATCATTTCTACTCTAAACCAATCATAGGAGAGGAAATTATTATTATTATCAATCAATCACAGGAAAGTATTAACCAATCAGAGAAGAGAAAGCAAGCCATTTCTACAATCAACCAATCAGAAAAGAGGAAATTAAACCCATTGCTCTTATCAACAAAAAGAAAACAACAACCTTGCTACTATCAACCAATCACAAGAGGTTAAATTAACAAACCCCACCAATCACAAGAGGTTAAATTAACGAACACCCACCAATCACAAGAGGTTAAATTAACAAACACCCACCAATCACAAGAGGTTAAATTAACGAACACCCACCAATCACAAGAGGTTAAATTAACGAACACCCACCAATCACAAGAGGTTAAATTAACAGAACACCCACCAATCACAAGAGGTTAAATTAACGAACACCCACCAATCACAAGAGGTTAAATTAACAAACACCCACCAATCACAAGAGGTTAAATTAACAAACACCCACCAATCACAAGAGGTTAAATTAACAAACACCACCAATCACAAGAGGTTAAATTAACAAGCACCCACCAATCACAAGAGGTTAAATTAACAAACACCCACCAATCACAAGAGGTTAAATTAACAAACACCAACCAATCACAAGAGGTTAAATTAACGAGCACCCACCAATCACAAGAGTTAAATTAACAAACACCAACCAATCACAAGAGGTTAAATTAACAAACACCAACCAATCACAAGAGGTTAAATTAACGAACACCCACCAATCACAAGAGGTTAAATTAACGAACACCCACCAATCACAAGAGGTTAAAATTAACAAACACCCACCAATTACAAGAGGTTAAATTAACAAACACCAACCAATCACAGAGGTTAAATTAACAAACACCCACCAATCACAAGAGGTTAAATTAACAAACACCAACCAATCACAAGAGGTTAAATTAACAAACACCAACCAATCACAAGAGGTTAAATTAACGAACACCCACCAATCACAAGAGGTTAAATTAACGAACACCCACCAATCACAAGAGGTTAAATTAACAAACACCTACCAATCACAAGAGGTTAAATTAACGAACACCCACCAATCACAAGAGGTTAAATTAACAAACACCCACCAATCACAAGAGGTTAAATTAACAAACACCTACCAATCACAAGAGGTTAAATTAACAAACACCAACCAATCACAAGAGGTTAAATTAACGAGCACCCACCAATCACAAGAGGTTAAATTAACAAACACCAACCAATCACAAGAGGTTAAATTAACAAACACCAACCAATCACAAGAGGTTAAATTAACGAACACCCACCAATCACAGAGGTTAAATTAACGAACACACCAATCACAAGAGGTTAAATTAACAAACACCTACCAATCACAAGAGGTTAAATTAACGAACACCCACCAATCACAAGAGGTTAAATTAACAAACACCCACCAATCACAAGAGGTTAAATTAACAAACACCTACCAATCACAAGAGGTTAAATTAACAAACACCACCAATCACAAGAGGTTAAATTAACAAACACCAACCAATCACAAGAGGTTAAATTAACAAACACCAACCAATCACAAGAGGTTAAATTAACAAACACCACCAATCACAAGAGGTTAAATTAACAACACCCACCAATCACAAGAGGTTAAATTAACAAACACCAACCAATCACAAGAGGTTAAATTAACAAACACCAACCAATCACAAG